TTTTTTTTTTTTTTTTTTTTTTTTTTTTTTTTGGAAAACAATACCATTACAATAGTTCTACAAATCAATGAGCTGAGGCCCGAAGTCTGTGTTTTGGACAAGAGAAACTGTAGCATGGTCCCAGTAGCCAAGGGGATTGGATTAAGATCTGAATCGGGGCGTGTTTTAGGAAGAGATACAGAAAAGGAGTTCAATCTCGATTTTCTGCACTTATCCACAAACCCGGCCACATTAAGGCGTTCAATCCAATCCTCTTTGCTAGTGGGACCTCGCCCCTGGAGAATATTCTTCTCTCAATTTCACCTCACACTACCTACCTACCACTACTACTAAGGGCGTCGTTCGACACTCCTCGGGGACGCGATTCTGAGAATTCCGTCGTCTTTCCACCTGTCCTCGGAGATGAAATCGGAAATGAAAATGTGAAAACACTCCGAGGACAAATCCTTGGGTGCCAAGGATTTCCCAGCCAAATCGTCCTCGGCTCCAAAGGACCGCGAGGTCCTTTGGGGCCCGAGGATCCGTGTTTCACGGAGAGGAGAGGGCATGCACGAAGAGAGACTATACAACCGAGAATTCTGATCGTGGCGGCACCCTATTGGCTGAAAGCCTGAAGCACAACTTTTTTTCTTTTTTTTTCCCTTTTATTTTTCTGACATTGCCCCAAGGATGCATCCTAAAACCGATGCTCCGAGGATGAGTGGAATGAAGACGACAAAAAACCTGAACTTTTCCGAGGATTCATCCTCGGAGCCTGAGGATGCCCTGAGGAGTGTTGAACGATACCCTAAGCCTCCCAGTCCTTTTCAGAGAAAAGAAAAAGAGAAAACTAGGGCGTGGTCATGGTTTGAGTATCTAAATCCATTTCAAACTGCAGTTTTAATTCCAGTCCCGTGGGGAGTTTACTACGCAGTCTAAACTCCCGCTTTGTAGAAAAGTCGCACCCTGCCAACTCAGAACTGGTGCAGACAAGGGAAAAAAAAAAAAAGAAAAAAAAAAAGCATATAATAAATGAGCTGAGTCTTCTGTTAAAAAAAAAAAAAAAAAAAAAAAGGTCGCAGTTCAGTCGGGCAGGTGGGTTTCTGTGTGTGTGTGTGTTTGTTTGTTTGTTTGTTTTCTGCCGCGCACAGTACCGTGGCTGAAAAAAAAAAAGGCCCATAGTAAACTTCCGAGCTTGGCTGGTGATGCCTCGCTGTAATTAGGAGCCGACTGTACATATGTGAGGGAAGCCAAAAGAGACAGAGAATTTGAGCATGGTCTGAGAATAGAATGAGATAAGAACTAAAGGCTACAGTTTGGTTTGAAGATTCCTCATTAGCTTAGGTTTGTAGATTTTTCAGTTGGTGGGATTCTGTGACTCCTGATAATTGGGAGCCGACTGTACATATGTGAGGGACGCCGGCCCCCTTTCCCGGCTTATAAGATTTTTTTCTTCCGTAAAAAAAATCGCAGTTTAAAATGCATTTAGAAACAGTTACTGCTTTCGTGACTGCACCCTAGTTACCCCAAAGAAAAAAGAAACTCAACCGTAGAAAAGGAGGTCCTGTCTTCCTTCCATCTGGCAGCACTTAAGGCCGAGCAGTTTCCCCTGCCAACGTCCTGTCGTGAGCTTCTCGTCTATCGCCCAATTAGCACTTCGCAGAACCACCATTTTTTTTATTTTTATTTTTAATTTATTTATTTATTTATTTATTTGTGTGTGTGTCTGTGTGTCTGTGTGTGTGTGTGTGTGTGTGTGTGTGTGTTTTTAAGGATCAGAATGGATGCTACACTTGATCTTAGCCAAACACCCACTGAATTTTTTCCCTCTTCAGTACCCCTTGCTTT